CCCCCCCCCCCCCCCCCCAGTGTCACGATGGATTTAGCCCAATTGTTATGATGTTGGCATGAAAGGTGGTATTTCCTATAAAAGTAATTTCAATACATTTTCGTATTTTAGCCAGGAACGTTTAGTTAAGGTAGTGATTAATTTGTGTTCCTCACCTGTTTATACTTAGGAGAAGTTACCACTGAGAGTTAGCATTTGTCATGATTTTGTTTCCTCCTCACCCTTACAGACCTGCGCTAACTGGCATGTGAACCCAGCCCTTCCAGACCTTTTACAATTTAAAAGTAGAGAGACTGGTTTTAATGTTACCTGGGAACAGACTATTCAAAGAAGGGTATTTCTAAGAATAGGGAAAATAGGTGAGAAACATGTCCTTGGGATGCCTCAAAGGGATGTACATAGTCTCCTGGTCTTAATTAGATCAGGAAAGACTTGTTAATTTGATAAACGTGCACCTTTGGGAGGGGAAGAAGATCATCCATACTATGCATAAAGTATGTTGTAAATGGCTAGATAAGAAATCATTACTTAAGCCTACCCAGATTTGCCTAAAGCTTCCTGAGGATAAGGGGCTTTGATTCTTCAGTTAGCAGGCCAAGTAAAAACCACATTCTTGGCTTTAAGATGCAGGGTAAGACAGGTCTGATACTTTCTTTCGTTTGTTTATTTTTATATTGCCATCTGTTTCTCAGCATTTGGTTACTGATTTCTTGTGTCTACTCCTGTTTTTTATTATAAATCTTTTTGTTTATCTCTTTAATTTACCCCAAAATCATACTTACTCTGATGATAAGTACTTGACCACACAGGCCGAACTCATCTCTAGAAGGAGAGGATCCATCTTTTCAGAGAGCATAACTGGATGAGGGTGTGATTCTTTTGGCAGCTTTTAGTAGAGGGGATTTTGCCAGCCAAGAGGTAGGTGAGGCAAGTAAAGCTTGAGGATAACATAGGTCAGAGAGGTGACCTTTGGAGCATTTCAGTCTGTTTTTAGTGGTCAAGCAGCAGAAGGCAGAGAGAGATTTGGAGTTAAAGGGCATCCCTGAGGGCAGAAGTATTTCTCAAAGGTGCCATGTGCCTGCATCCGGGGCTAGGGAAAGTCACAGAGGGCACATCCAGATAAGTACGGCTATGTGGTATGTGGCACTGCAAACATGTCTGCAGCTTCACAAACTGCACGTTCAGATGTTTGCACTGCAGGGAACCATTGCCTATGTGTGTGCTTCTCCATTTTTTTTTTTTTCTATGGATTTTTTTTTTTTATCCCTGACTTCAGGGGTCAAAAACCTGCAGAAAAAGAAATCGGAGCAGCGCATGCATGGGTAGCACATGCCATTCAAAAGCGGAGCCGGGCTGGCCAGAGCTGGACTGCAGCTACCAGCCAGGCTCCGCGCAGCGGAATCAGTGCTGCTGCAGCTCTCGGAGGACCCCAGGTAAGGCTGCTGGAGCCAGGCCAGTGCTGGCCCCAACCTCCCCTACCCTACCTGGGGTAAGTTGCCATGTGCCAAAGCACACATGGCGTGGGTGTTCCCTGAGGACAAGTAGCAGTGGCACAAGGTGCACTGCCACTACTTGTCCCTGGGGAACCAAACGTCCACGCCACATGTGGATGTGGCCAAAGATGTTATTGGTATTGGAAGGTAGAGAACTTGCAGAGTAAGGATTGCTCGACTATCATCCATGCTTACCTTTCTGAGAGAGGCCCATTTATCCTTCCTCATTTATCTAAGGAGAGCCACTTTTTTTTTTTTGACAAGAGGGAAAGTTAAGTACTCATGTCATGGAAGAGGAATAGAAACCAAAGTAGCTGCCAGGTTGTATATGTTTTAGGTGGTAATATGCAAGCAGGCAGAATTTCAAAAAAAATACGTATTTTAAAAAGATATTAAAATGAAGTCTTTGTTCAGGCAAATTTAACTTTTTTTCGCTGTATGGCTGAGCCCTTTTTAAAATGTCATCAGCAAATTGTCAACAAAAAACATCTAACATCATTTTCATGTACCAAGGATTTCCAATCATTTTTTTTTAAAAAGTAACAGAGAGGTGGTTCAAATATTAAAAAACAAAAAAAGCTTTACAACACATAACATCCATTGTAAATGATCTTCACTGTCCTCAGAGTTTGTAAAATAAGTACTTTATTGATGGTATTTTGGTATTGGGCAAGTATCTTTATTGTCTTTTTCCTGAAAAATAGGTTTTACAAAATGGGCAAACTGTATGTATAATCTGTTTAGTTACATGTACTCCTTAAAAAGCCAGCTTTTATCTCATACCTCCCAAAAAAAAAAAAAAAACCCTCAAAGAATTTTTGGTTTTTTATTGAGATTATATTCCTACAAATGTAGAACAAAGGCTTTAAAACAAACCAGTTTACTTTAGGGATCAATACAGAGAGATTTTGGCCAATGCCAATGGTTAGACATTTAATTGTAGTTTTCATAGATTCATAGATTAAGGGTCGGAAGGGACCTAGTAGATCTTCTAGCCCGACCCCCCGCCAGGGCGGGAGAACAACAAAAAACCCCAAAAAGAGAAACGGGACTCAAACGAGTCCAGCCAGGTAGGCATCCAGCCTCTTCTTAAAGACCCCCAGGGTAGGGGCCAGCACCACTTCCCTTGGAAGTTGGTTCCAGCTCCTAGCCGCCCTAAC